ATATATTAGGGGTCCAAAATGTTTGGTGAAAGGAAGGTTAGTATTGTTTATCAATCATAAAATTTTTTGAATATTGTTTAATTGAATATATTAGAAAATTGCTGCTTCTTCAGGATACGTTTTCTTGAAGTAAAACAAACACATTTACCTTTGCTTGATTCTTTTCTTTTCCATTCTTTTGGAACATAATTCCATTCTTTCGGAATGCTCTCAAGTAAATGATTGGGAACATTGTGGTTGCTTGGGTTTGTCTCACAGGTTCTTCCACAGTTCATCAAAGATATTACCTGCTGTATGATGTCTTTGATGGCATCAGTCAGTGCCAATCTCAAGCATCGGATGACCTCCGGCTCAGACTCCATGCACACTGAGAATTTAAAATCGGGAGGCATAATATGGTTAGTAGAATCTGGCAATCAGGCATGCCTTGTTCAACTGGGTATGCTGTTTCACAAGAATGGAGCTTAAAGTTATACTTAAGGAGAACTTATCTTAACCAAAAATTAATATAGTTAGTAATCAGCTCAAAAAGTATTTGAACAAATTCCTTCTTCCTAGCAACTAAGAAATGGCCATTAATATAATGGTAAATAGCAACATTTGCTGATAGTTTTGCATTCTGCTGGTGGCATGTAAATTGCATGACCTTCTTAGATGACAGCTTGGCAATAATATCAAAAGCTTTAACGTTTTACTTACCTGTTGACTTGAGCATTTTGGTAGGACCTAATACTAAGAAATTAAGTAGAATATGCAAATGATATATAGGAGATTAGAACTCTAAATAGCCAACAACAAGTAATTTGATAATTAGCTTTGGGATATTAACTGTAAAACAAAGTCAAATATCATCTAGTTAAAAAATATAAGCAGGCTAGAAGAGTATGACATGCCATTTTGTTTTAAAATACTATATATCTACACATATAAAAAACTTAAAGCATATATTCTCTAATGCCAATGGTAATTATTAATGATGGGATTTCAGGCAATGTTTTGCTTTCTTTCCTTGATTTTTGCCTTTTTCCCCTTCTTTCTTTTCTTACTTCATCCTTCTTTCCCATTTATGCTGCCTTCCTGCTGCTATCTATGTATTATCTACAATGAATGTACACGACTTTCATGATATGTGCCATTTAAAAACCTGGCTGCTTGTCTGACGTTTAATATGACTAGAAAGTCCTGAAACCATCATTTGAATCAATACAGAAAATAAATTTGTGCTTTCTTCACCTCAGGTTCCCAGGTAACATTTCTCAAATGACTCATTCATTTAACAATGGTCCACTGTTAAAACTATCAAGGAGAAGGATGCTCTTGGTAATATCAAATGTTGAGAGTTTAATTATCTTAGCAACATGAGTTAGGCAACATCTTGCTTTTCATAGAAAAGGTGGAGGATAGAGTTGTGTGTCTTTTTGATGATATTTGAAAAACTTGAATTTATCAAAGGACACTAGTAGATGCCCTACTTCCTGTATCAGTAATTATTATTCATTTGGACTGACCTGTTTGGAGCTGTGGACTAAATACCTTTTAGTTACCTGAAAATTCTAAGAAGCCAGACATACCTCTATTTCCTTTTCTAAAAAGATATGTTTACTGTCTTTGAAATAAAATCCAGGTGTTGAAAATGATAGAGAAAATAAGACAGAAAGTAATTTTACCTCAAAGATTATTTGACAATTAAATAAATTGGTTTATTAAGTATTTTGAACAGTACCTGGCATAGGAACTATGTAAGGGTAACTTATTATTAATACCCAAGATGAAAATTTTTGGAAAAATTCCAATGCTATAGTGTAGAGCTGGGCAATATTTATTTGATAGGAGGGCCTCAATCATCTTGAGGACTTGATACTATGGGGAGGATTAAGCATATTTACAGATTTCTGTGATGGCAAGAGATGCAGATAAAGGAAGAAAATGAGAAATGGAAAGAAGAAGGAATAGAAAAAAGTGAAGGTTCCTGTGGTGAAGCAATGCACCCTCAGAGCCATAGTAAGAGTTTCTTCGTCAATCAAATGGTAGAGAGGGTATGTAGATTATCAAGTCACACAGTACAGAAAGAACATCATGTAATAGCCCAAACCAAGTATTATAAGCCCATAATATTACTCCCTGATTATCAGGATAAAGGAGAGAAACAAGAGAAAGAATCTTTCAAAATGATAATGTTTTCATTATTGGTATTTTGCCATACATAATTTCAGCTTTCATGTTAAATTAACTAAAATGAAAGCAAAGAAACATAAAATTCAGACTGAGTCATATCATTTAAAGAAGAGGACAAATTTGAGACGTTTGTCGGAAAATGGATACACCTGGAAAAAATAATGTCAAATGAAATAAACCAGACACACAAGCTTAAATGCCGTATGGTATCTCATTTGAGCAAGGCAAAGTACAAACAAAGAGAATAATAAAGGATGGATAGAAGGAGACAAGGACATGGATCTTTTCCAAATGGGAAAGGGTCCAAGAGACCAAGGGGGGAAAAGAACGGCAATGAGGGGAAATAAGTAGAATGAGGATACGCCATGTACAGGAGCCTAACCGCAATGAACGTGAACATTATATGGCATACACATGAGCTAAGACGAATACTATCAATAGGAACGAAAATGGGGAAAGGAGAATTAGAGGAAGAAGGGGGGAAGGGGACATGATTTTAAAAAGTAAATGATGTATTATGTACATGTACCCACTCATGCAAATTGCACGTACTGAAAACATGTACTAAAACAAACTCAAAATTTAATAAAAGTAAATAATCAGAAAGAATCCATGCTTCATCATCTCCTTTTCTAGTACTTCAAATCAACTTTAAAAATAAGGAAACTTTGTTTACTCTAGGAGGGGCCCCCATGTTCTTATCTACACAACCGGAGGGAGAGAGGCAAGAGGAGCTTGACAAAGTGATATTTGTGATCTTTTTGAGTTTTTACTTCTATGAGTATTTGAAATCCTACAAAGAAAATAAAAATATTTCATAGCTAAGTTCATAAAAAATCAATAAAAGCAGTGACTCTGCTGCTTTCTTCCCATCATAATAATCAGAAGTCCTTAGAGAGAGGTTGAATGATGATCTAAGTCCAAAATAAGCCTCAGTCTCAGCAGCAATTCAAAGATTGATAGAAACCAAACAGTGCATGGATCTACACATTTTTCTTAAGATACTAATTATCAATTTTTATCACGATACTCTTTTAAAATTCAATAATGACAGATGAGGATGAGCATAGAAAACCACTACTTTTATTTTAAAATTTCTGTAATTTTGAATGAATAGAACAAAAGGAATTTGGTGGTAGTTTTTCGAGCTACTTTTAAGAAAAGTATTATACTATATTTGATAAAGACTAACCTAATTAGACATTATAAAAATAATGGAGACAGGTACAGTAGCACATGCCTACAATCGCCGCATTCAGGTAGGCTGAGGTAAGAAAATTGCAAGTTGGAGCCCATTCTGAGCAAATTAGTGACTTAGTCAGAGCCTGTTTCAAAATAAAGGGGGGAGGAATGGAAATGTAGTTCAGTGCAATGGTCCTAGGTTCAATTCCAGTAACACACACACACACACACACACACATACACACACTCCATGAAAATTAAAATGTATTTCTAAGCAAAATGTTTTACTGTGAAAAGCATTTTGTTAATATATTGATTAATCCAGAGCTATTGGAAATAAGGTTTAGTGATGTTACAAGTAATTGAGCAGCTAAAAGTAACAAAGCATCATTAAAACATCCTCTGAAAATACATTAATACATTTTCTTAAGAGAAAAATAAAGTTCATTTGGTACTTCAAAATTTTAGATGATAGAGATAAGAAGTTGAAATCTGGACAGGATCTGACTCTCATTTTTTGTAAGGCAAGGGAACTGATGATCCAGATAGAAAATGATGAACCATCTAGGAAGTAGAAAGGCAAGGGTGGAGTAAGCATCTCACTTCCAAAAGACTTTCTTAAGAAGATGAAAAGATAGGCCATAGACTGGGAGAAATTTTATTGATGCATGTATCTGAAAAAGAATTTATGTCTAGAATATATAAAGAACTATTTATAATTCAAAGAGACACAATTAATAGAGGAAAAGTTTTGAGTAGATACACTACAAAAGGATACTTTTTTTTTAATTTTATATTTTATTATTGTTTTTTTTTTAATTGAGTTTATTGGTACATTTAGGGATACAGTACAGTTACATTCATTGTTGGGATCATGTACCTTTACATGGTAAGTCTTGATTCTCATTTTTTCCCCTTACCTCTGCCCTCCCTTCACCCCCTCCTCCCCTCCCCACCTACAAACACTTTATTTTCATCTTTTCATTCTCTCACATCAAAAGAATACTTTTAAATGGCTATTAAAAACACAAAGAAGTATTTACTATTTACTATTGTTACTCATGAAAGAAATATGAATTAGGGCTGGGGATTTAACTCAGTGGTTCCACTGCCTGCTTTGCAAGCACAAGGACCCAAGTTTGATCCTCGGTACCCCCCCAAAAAAAAGAAATGTGAATTAAAACTATGACTAGATACAATCTGACCAAAACCAAAAAGACAGTTCCTAGTATGGGCAAGGATATGAAGCAAGCAAAATTCTCATGCATTATTGGTGGCAATGTAAAAAGATATGTCTATTTTGTAAAGCAGTTGAGTAGTGGTAAATGGATGAAACCAAGAATACAACTCAGTGATACTAGTCAGTACAGGAAAAAGCTGAAGTATTAATAAAGCATAATGTAAATAAAAGAAGCATGATACAAAAGATATGTCAATTCTGGCTTACATGAGATTTCTAGGGTAGTCAAAAAATAACCTAACCATGGTACAAAGCATTAGCAGCATCTTGCTAGGATTGGGAGTTAAAAGAATTGATTACAAAGTGGGATGAAGGGACCTTTGGGGCGATGGGAATGTTCTATACCTTTATTGTAGTGGACATCACACAGGTTTATTCATTGGTCAGACGTATTAAATTCTTTACTGGAAATTAGTAACTTTTATTGTATATAAATTATATTAAAATAAAGTATTGCAAAAGTGATTACAAATACAGGCTTTGGATGGATGACCAAATAAAAGTCTCTAAATAATGATTACATTGCAGAACAAAAATGGTCTTTTTTGAAAATTTGCACTTCATAACTACCCATACTGTGGTGCAGGTATATATGTACAGAAAATTGCTGTGCCTAACACAAAGGTAATGTTATAAACTAATTTTAGCTACAAGAAAACAATTCGGCATCCTGTGCCTTCTAAATAGTCCTTCGTAAAGGTTTTTATGCAGCTGAGGAAAATGAGCAGAGAACAAAAGCAAAACTCTGGATCTCAAACTTTAATTGGGAAATTTTGCTAAGTCATTGAAATCTTTCTTCCCAAAGGCTGTTAAGAAAGAAAAAAAAAAAAAAAAACTCACCCAGAAAATAAAAGTAAAGTCAATGCCACAGAAAGAAGTCAAGTGAACAATACTTGTTGAGTATATTATAATACTACTACACATGACATTTTGGACAATATTGTCCTAATTTACAAGCCTGTCTGGGCATTGTTATAAAAACTAGGCTAGTAATTCTACTTCAAAATTTCCATTTGCCCAACTGAAGATGTTTGGTCTACTTTGAAGACATAGTCCCGCAGTGATTGCTACCCAAATCTACTTTATATAGAGCATACTGGCTTTTTGATGTCCATATTAGGGCCTTGACGATTATCTTTGTATTTGTCTTTTATCATCTTTTAAAATGGGTGCTGTCGTTCTTGCTTTCCATCCCCATCTCATGCTAGCTCTAAAGAGTTAATGTGTTGGGTTTCTGATTACAAAATCAGGTTGTAGATTGCAGTACAGTACTGAACTCATGTGCATAAAGCAAATGACTTAAAGTATTTAGTCTAGTAGAAAAAAATCAAAGAGAAGCCTATGAGTTAGAAGATCTGGATTCTTGCTCTGGTTCTGCCCAAGCTAACTGGTGGACTACGTTAACGTCTCCTGCTTTTGTTTACTCAGCTATAAGATGAATGTACTGGCTACTTCATCTTGGGCTTTCCATTCTAAACTGATTTCATGATGATGTGAGTAAGCTGTGGGTAAACTATGCTGAACTCTTTGACAGTGTTTCAACAGGAGGAAAATACGCCAGTGATGTTTCTAAGCAATGTCTTACAGTTGTCTGGGTAAGTCAATTATATTTGCAGACACATGGATCTATGAGTGTTAAAATGCAAATATTACAGGATTATAATTATGTGTCTTAGCTGTATTTCTCTTTAACATCTTTTAGTTTCAAATAAAACAGAAGTCATAATAAAAGGATTGATTTTGTTATGAATTGCATTATTTTATTAGTGCTCTTTAAAATAACCATGATTGGTAACACAAGAAAAGGAAAACCTCTGAAACTTTTGGCAGAGAGAAGGTACAATCCCTTATGACCACTGCATGTCTCAGGCTCCAGAGAATATTCAACATACAGAGAATATTTTATATTAATGCTTATGGAGAAATGACTTGCACAAATTCCAAGGAAGTTCTGCCCCTTTGGGCCTCTCTACTCATTTTGGGTAAAACCTATTTGATCTGGCTTCCTAGAAGAGACTTTGCTCACTAAATAGAGAAAGAAAAGACATGTTAGGAGCAAGCACAGTTTTACTCTCACTTGCAAGGGCCTCAAATCTACTGGCATCTTCTAGGTCACTTGTAGTAGTTTTGTAGTGAGGGTAAAAAGTGGTTAAAGAACTTAACAGTTGAAAGATAAAGTGGTTGAAGTATGAAGGTTGCTGATTCTTTATAATCTTGTAAGACAATATGATTATAACTTCCCTAAGAAAAAAACTAAAAATAGCCTAGGGTGTTCAAGATTGGCTTTATGGTCAGTTTTCTTTCAGTTCAATAAAGACTGGGTCAGAAGTACAAGCTTCTAATTCAGTCTTCATACTTTGAAATCTTCCCTTCCTTTGGGTAAACAGAAGCAGTGAGGTAATACCTCGAAACCAGGAGATAAAACTTTAAAGGAGATCACTGCAACAAGATCTTTAACTGATAGATTCAAATTTCAAAACCATTACAAAAAGTTATCTATTGCTATTCACAGAGATAACGATCAAAGGGAGATGAAATATAATGACTTTAAAATAACTAAAATGATATTCAAGTATTATCTGGAGGACAGTCAGCAAGTCCAGGAGGAATGAAGCTGTGATTCTTTGCCAGATAGATCTGCTGCAGAGAGCCTAGAAAATATTTTATGAAATTGCTGGCTGCAAAGCAGACTGTGCATAAGAAAATGTATAGGTTGAAAGCCAGATGTATATCATGTAAATGACTAATGGAATAACTGGGGATTGATAATAATATCTACCTAGGTTCTCATCCTTTCTTTTTTCAAGACAATAAATATAGAGATAGTGTGGGATTATAACGTGAAAACATTTGCCTGGCCTGAAGGTGGGGTGCCCCATCAGCACCTCTTGTTCATATGTACAACCTGCCTTGTTTTTCACAGCCTCTCTAGCTGAAAGACGAAGAACAACCCAGATGGAGAAAACATACGTCCCCAAAGGAATCACAGAATATGCTTGTCTCGAATAAAAAAGTACTATGGTCATAATAGTAAATGTACTGCATATCAAGAAAAATGACCAACAGTTTATTCCATCAGTTTGTTAAATAAACGTGCCACAGAATCGCAAAATATCTTTCACATCTTGTTAACATCTTATATGCTAAAAAGAAAAACAATGTAACGTAAAAATTAAATTCTTATGAGAGAATAGTTAAACAACTCTGCATTACATAATTTTTCTCCCCAATTTCCCTCAAGGAAGTTGGAATTTAATTCAAGTATATTAAATTTGACTGAAACTACTGGTTAATGGCCTAAGGTAGAAACCCTTGTAATGAAAAGATATGATAAACTTTTACAAACAACAGATTCAGCAAACCCAGTACCAACAAAAGTTTTAAAGTATCTTTAAAAGCATTTTAAAGATAAAGCAATTCCTGTACAAACATCAAGTTTCTCATACCTTGAATGTTACACAAAAAGTCCCATAATTGCTCTTCTTCCATGTAACTCATGAAAACATCTCCGAATATTTCTGGTGAGTAATTACAATGGTACAGGACTGTAAAGACGGCTTCTATCAGGCCTTGGCTCCACTTATTTTCTGTGTCAGAAATTTGTTCTTGAAAGGTACATTCTTGAAAAACAAAATGACTTAGTAAGATGGGTATTAGTGAGTATGATTGCATTCTGATAGCTTACCGTAGTAGAATGCTGGGAAACGTGTTAGACTGATGTTTGTATGCTAAGAGAAATACCACATTCTTTCAGATGAATTGTCCATCTAACTCATTACTGATTCTGAGACACCCAGGCATATTTATAAAGGAGTAAAATAAAAAATGTGAGAAAGACCACAGTAATATCCCTTGAAAGGGCAATGCTGATTTTTCTGCATGTCAGAATTCTTTTTGCTCTTAAAAAAAACTTATTTTTTTGTATGTGTGCTGTGTTAAAATACTATAAACATTCATTCTAGAGATTGTTTTCAAAAATTCAGAAAACTAAAATTGTGTCATGAGGAAAATCACATTTACAGTGTTCTCATCATTATGCTATGCAACTCTTCAAAAACACTTCTGAATGTTTCTCAAACCCATTCACACTGTCATGATAGAATGAAGAGGTTTCTCTCTCAACCGGCTCCTTAATAAAACTATATGAGGAATTTCACAAAACCAGGGCCATTTTAGTTACTTATTTCATCCCTTCTCTGGCTCCCCTGTGCCTTCTTTAAAAGTCAATATTCAGAAGTTCCTACACTATTGCATCTATAGGATGGATTGAATGGTGAAATAATAATTGCTATTTTGTTTGAATAAAAAGCATCATCATAATAAGCAAACATATTTTTGAATTAATGATATTAATTCATACTGAGTGTTTTAAATATCTTGCATTAAAAACAACGTAGAGTCGTGGAAGGAGTACATTTCTTTATTCTTGTTCATTTGGAAACCTCTCAGCTTTATGTTTCTTCTCAATAATTTTATTTCTGGAACTTGATTTTAATGACGTAGAGGAGGTCATGATTATCTAAAAGCTAAAAATTGGCACCAAAGATTTTATGCAAGAAAGCACTTATTAGTTTTGGTTACTAATAGCTTTTTCAAACACATCATTTTCCTTTAGCTCTCCCTACCCCATGCACCTCCCTCATGGCTACTCTTTCCCGCTCCACCTACACCACCACCTCCAGGTTATTTCGTCTGGGCAAAGCTGACTTCATTACTTAAGGTGTGCACACAACCAGGGCATGGTTTGTCACAGCCCGACACCTCCCCTCACCATGATCCATTCCAGGATGGACAGGTAACCACGGAGAACCTCCTCAGGGGCTTCCACTGGAATAACTGATAGAGCAGCGTTCTCTCTTTACTAAGTTTGCCGAGCTGGCCGAAAAGTAGGCTGGAAGTTGCTGATGCCATTTTGGAAAGAACGTGACTAGGGATAGATCTGATACAGTAAGAGGCAAGAGACAGAGAGAAGATTCCTGATGAGATTGCCTACTGATTTCAGCTTGCTGAGCTGACAAATTTCCCTTTTTGGCTAAACCAGGCTAATTTGGATCTCTCACTCGCATTTTGCAACAGTAATCTATGAACAAGTATAAAATGTTAAGTAGCAAGTATTTCTAATTCAGAAACCCATAATTTCATCTTTTTTATCCAAATGCTCTCTGCAATTCTCTCTACCTTCTTCAATTCATATTACATACAATGATCAGTTATCCTTCATGTCATCCTCATGCTTAAGCCTGTCCATTACTTCGCTTTACTAAAAATTCCTTAGCCTAACGATACAGGAAGTCTACTATCTTTTTCAAAATTATGTTCAAAACCCCAAATATCTATTCCACCCAGAAATGTTTATTTTCTGTTCCTTTTAAATGTGCCCTCCTCTCTCTCCTTCCTCCTCTCTCTCCTTCTCCCCTTCTCTCTCCCGCATGCAATTTCTAGAATGCCAGTCTAAGACATTCTCCACCAATGAAATTCCCATGATTTAACTTATTAATTAACTAACTGATTGACTGCTTAGTATGTGTTGCACATTACACTAGATGCTACAGCCTTCACTTCCCTGGGATTCACTGACTGTGTGTATATATTTGCTCAGGAAAGTGATGACAGGCAAGTAAACAATCATTACACCAATACAAGGATAAATAGAGTAACCACACATCCTGGTTTCCCTGGGGCAGTCCTGAATTATGTCTATTGTCCTGGCATAAGTATGAGTAGCATCCTTTTTCACTCTTAAATGTATCTGTATTAGCTTTCCTGTTGCTGGACATAATGTGCAAAACCTTTAAGTTAAGTTAAAAGGGGTTTAATTTAGCTTATGGTTTTAGGGGATTCGGTCCATGGTCCGCTGGTTCCAAGGCAGGGACATCGTGAGAAAGGTTGTGACAGAAAAGTTGCTTAGCTTAGCTCTTGGTGGCCAAGAAGTAGAGCAAGGGAACAGCACCCAAAAGGAAGGGGCCAAGCACCACATATAGCACCCAAGGTTACACCTCCATGACCCACCTAGACATATCCAAAACCGTGCTCCACCAATCCCCAGTTGGATCTCAAAGTCAGTCAAGTTGACACTTCACCCTACCTTGGTCTGGATGATAAATTATCACGTAATTGAAGTGTTTGAAATATAAGGCACTGTGGAAATACAATGATGTTTTTACATTTTTTTTCTGGGAACAGGAACACAGAAAAGATCATGACTCAGTGAAGTCTTTGAAGTGGTTCATCAGCATGACAAGGTTGGGATGAGAGAGCTTTACAGAAAGACAGAGTTGGTGTAACGGTGAGAAGACAGGCAGCTGCTGGAGGTGTTGCTGTAGAGAGACTGCTGTGAGACAGGAGGGAGATGAACCATGGCAACTGACAGCATGAATAACCTGAGACACAGAGAATCACTCAGTGACAATGCCCTTTGGGAAAGAGGGAGACTAGCTTAATAAAATAATAAATATTATAACTTCTACTACTCTATAAACATGCCGGGATACTTCAATGCAGCTTTATTTTCTATTTTTCCTCCCTCCATGTTCTTTTGCCTCAGACTAAAAGAGTCTATTTCTATTTATTTGCCTCAGGGATTTCAGCTACTCACAAAACACGAGTGGACTAAAATCAGTTGCCTCCTAGACTTAAGAAAGAAAGGAAGCTAAATCTATTGAATAGTTAGTTGCTTGAACTATATAAAGCAGCAATTCTTATAGGCAAAACAAAAAAAAATCAAAACAGTGGCACTACCATGTGATTCCCAGGGGAGTCATGTGTGTCCTGGTAGCAAGAACGCGGGTGGCTCAGAGAGAAGAGGTGGGGAGGCCGGGGAGAGAAACACCCAGGCTGTAAAGCAAGAGCACCTGCCTTCTTGCTGGCCATGCTGAGAAGCCACGTCTGGGTGAGGCACGGAAGGACGTCAGGTCTCAACACTTAGAAACATCTAGATCTGCTGAGGTCACTCTCCAGCTAGGTCTTACTAGATGACAAACGAGGTTCCTACTTATTGGTTCACTTATTTATCTTTGACAGAGTCTCGCTAAGTTGTTAAGTTGGCCAGACTGGGCTCAACTTTGTGATCCTCATCCTCCCAACTCAGCCTCCCAGAGTGCCAGCATACCTGCACAATTCTATAACAGAACCTAGAACAGTGCCACCTGATTAATATTATAAAACTAAGGAAGGACAAAGGAAGGGAGAATGAAATAGATCTCAAGTATTTTTTGGTTATGCTTTGATTGATCTAGTTACATTCTAAGGATAACATTTAAAGTTTCCTTTTGCCCCAACTCTGATCCTCTACATAGTCACCAAATCCCTTTCGCTGACTCTTTTGAAGTCCTCTTTTCTCTTGACTTCTACCTGGCCATGCTCACTTAATTTCAGGGTGCTTTTTTATAGCATATCGTTTCTGGTGAGCTCTTCCTCTCTTATCATCTACAACTTGGCCTGCAAAGGACCAGATAATAAATGTAGTTTACATTTGGGGAAACATTTAGATCCTATCTGAATGAATGAACTCTGCTCTTGTAGAACAAAAGCTGCATAGACACTGTGAAAGCACAGAGTCAGGACAACACTGGGAAAAGGTGTATTTACAGAAATGGGGTAAGGACATTCTGCATCTGGTGCCTGTCCTGGAACCACCGCCTTGCCCACTTCCTGACTCGTGGTTTTCCCCCAGCTCAGCAATTCTCTTGTCCTACAACCTCAAAGACCTCTTCTATGAAAAAGATTCCAAATGAGCCACCTGCGTCTACAACCTTGCTCTCTTCCTCCTATAGGGCGCTTTCTTCTGCTCTGTTTCTAACCCTGTTCATATGGTTTAGGTTTTCTTTATCTTTTGATTTAATCACAACCCTCCCCATAATCTGTATTAACCCTAAATCCCTGCGGCTACCTTGTAAAATCCTCCATAAGTATGCAGTTTACTAACCCAGGCTTATTGTTTCTTCTTACCTCCAATATTCAAGTTAACTTCTCCTGGGAACCTCATTTAGCATCTAGTAAAAGCTGCCTGGAAAGTGACTTCAGCAGATTTGAGATATTTCTAAATTTTATGCCCCAGGAACCCGGTAAGAACAAGTACCTTTGCCAAGGGCTCATCCACAGTGTTCTGCCTTAGTTTTTAATTTTCTTATGCTATTGGGATATACTGGGGCTGTCTTCCATTCTGATATTTCCATCTTTTTTGTTTAAGGAAACTCGGCTCTAGTTTTATTATTTTTGACCTGCTTCATAAATTAATCCTGATGAGGTTCAGCAGACAGCAAATACGGCACTTTGGCATCTAAGAAAACAAGAGAGGCAGCAAGGTCTTTCTGACCTTTTCTGGTCCTTTTCCCCCGAAGCAGGCTATAAAGAGTTCGGGGCCTTTTCTCTAAAGTCGGGTATAAATGCAAAAAGGCAGTTTCGCAGTGAGACTGATACCTAACACAGGCGTGGCCCCCGTCCTCCTTAGTAACATGAGTCACGCTGCTGGCCTCGCCTCACCCCTCACTCCTCCTCACTCTCCCTCACTATGGAGCAGTGAGTTTGGGGAGACCTGGGCACCCCTGGATTAGCCAGCTGTCTCTCTTCACTTGGAGTGTACCTAACTCCAGGTGTTTGCATTCTGGGTTTTTAGCTCCGT